CCCCAAGCACATTTCGATTCCCAGACCTGTCAGCAAGTGATTTTTGTTACTTACCACAGCTCAGGAAATGTTACTGATGGGTATCTGGCCAGTTTTTCAAAGGGCTTTTTTCAATGGCCTTATAAAGTCAACCTGAATTTCTTAACACAGTCTGGACACTTCTGGAAATGCTATTCCATCCAAAGCCTTGGTAAAATAACCAGTGCCTTCATCATGTCCTATAGAACAAAACAGATTCTTATTGAACTTATGCAAATAACTTTATTGTCAGAAATTAAGAATACTTACAAATGGTTTTCAAATTCCAGAGAACTCAAGGAGAGAGAGAAAATACATGTTTTAAATTCTGCTCATAAGTACATACATTGCTTGGAAAGCTACAAATAGCTCAAAAGACAGAAAATCATTTTCTTGACTTCTGGAAAACAGAACATAGAAAGAATCAACAATATTTCAAGCAAAAAGTCACAATAAAGTAGCCAAGTTCCATGTTACTGATTTCTATTCTGTTTGAAGTTAGGTTAGCAATACTCATAGACATGTTAATTTTCCAATGAAAATTCTAAAAGTCTGCTTTTAGTCCAAAGGCAGCAAGATTTCCAAAGACAGCAAGAATTTAAATTCGAGAGAATTTGTCAGCCTCTCTTAATATTTCTTTTTCTTTTTAGGATAAACTTTGGATTCAGCTAGTTACATAAAAAATACTTTCTTTTTTTAGATGAATTCAAATTATTACCGACAATATATGTTAGGACAGACCAATGTCTTATACGTTAGGCCAGACCAATGCTTTATAGGTGAGGCTAGACCAATGTTTTATAATATTGGACTATATATATAACCATAACCCATACAAAATTAATCACGATTTCATATTCGACAATGTTTCCTATATATTTTTAATAAATTGAATAAGTTTAATTTGTTTTCCTGTGACTTTCAGTGGTCTTACTATTTCAAGAAGACCAAATTTAGAGTTGTGTTTTTTGTTTTTTAGTTGGCCCAGGCCAAGTTTGAATACACCTGCCTTGATACATGTAGTCAGTGCCACAACCACTGTGCTACAGGCACCGAGCCCCAAATTTAGAGTTTTGATGTTGGAAGTTTTGTCAAATATCAAGGCTTAAAACATTTGTTTAAGTAAAATTACAAGCCAAAAGATTTTAAAGGAAATACATAGTCAATTGGATCACATGTAAATTCTTTCACAAGTTCTCTTTTATGAGCTTCATTTAACCCAAATGGACAATCTACAAACATTCTAAACTTTCTTTAACTTTTGCCCTGCCTTTCACTTTCTTACACAACCATTCT